TATAACCAAAGCAGGGAATGTTGCAATGGTTGTTTTACAGTCACTCTTTATTCAGACAATATYCTGCTCTGCTGTACATAAAGGCAGCCCTGCAGGCATTGACCTGTGGTTTATTTTACATGTGGGCAGCCTCCTCTGGGTCTGTGCTTGTGCATTGGCCAACTCAGCCTTTTTCTCATAATTTCACTAGGAAGGAACTAGAAAAAATGGATGGGAAAAATAGAATAGAAAAAAATTGAATGTTTATGGGAAATCAAGGAACTTTGAGCTATATGCTCTCCGGTTTGCATTAGGGTAAAGCCCTTTTGAAGAACCAAGCTTGATTTTATCATTGCACCTTTTCCAATATCAGGARTGACAGTGACAACCATTCCAGTTGTCAGAGCAGAGAGGATTTAGTCTGCCTCACTAAAGCAGTGCATCTCTAAACCTGATGGAGGGAATCTGAACACATCTGGTCCCAACTGCCCTTTAGCATATCCTCCAGTAAGCATTTCTRTTTCMGCCTAGTGACACAGCAATGCTRAGAATCCGTAATAATGAGCATTTATCATGCCTGCATCAAAAGAAATGGTGCAAATGTAAAAACACACCCGGRCATGCAATCTCTGGTGTCCATCTTCCATTCACACAAGTTGCCTGTTTAGTATTTTCATCAGTTGATGTACATCTATAACGTATAACTTTATGAAACCCAGTGTTCCTTCCTGTCATGCGATATCGGCCAGARCGCACCAGCTCAACATCCTCTGGAATTACACATCGAGGGGATGCATCTGAAAGAAAAYAAAGASAGTTTAAAAAGTAGATTTAGTTCTAATAAGYGGCACTGATGAAGATGTCAGCAGTTGTACAGCAGTTCCATGTGAATATGAGGAAGAACTTTCCTGGGCAGGTGCTTGAGCAGGGAGGTTGGACCAGACCCACCATGATCCCTCCCCACTTCACTCMTTCTGTGACTGCGAAAAGGACTAAACCACGTAAAAGTGGTTGGGGTGGGATAAGTGTAACGCATTGTAGCTATTAATATTACTTTTAGTTCCTTTTAATACTTGATTTGAAACACGGTACAAGTGTCTATTTCCTTCCCTTTGCAAAGTTATAGGTGCAGAGTCTTTCCAGGCTGAAGGACGTGCTCCCATTTAAAAGAGGAGTTAAAAAATCCCACTTAGTCTTGATGCATGAAAGTATTGTATGTCTGCCTACACACTGATGGCTGAAGTCCTTGAAATTTTCTATACAAACGTATTACACTCAAATCTGAAATGTTATGGAAACAGATTACCAGCACAAATAGGTAAAGGCTTCCATTCTCCATTGAGACATTTTATTTTCATTTTCTCGGTATTGCCAGAGCCTGGTTTACATCCACAAATTACTTCTTCCCCGTGTGAATACGGGGACTGGTCTGCCTGATGTAGAACAACATTTGGGATAGAGGAAGGTGATCCACAGGGCATTCTGTCCTCTGTTGAAAAGAGCAGAAATATTCCACAGTCATACTGAATCACATATGAGTAGGTGAATAAACTGAAATAAAAATAACTACTTTTGCACGTGGTGAACCAAACCTACACCCACTAATTGTAGCAACTAAACTCCAGCACAGCTGGAGTATGTATATCTTGTAGTCAGTGCTCTCCTGTCTTTTCCCTTCCTTTTCCAGCTCTGGCATCTTCCACAAGCAGTTTCAGCTTGACAGTACCTTCCCAAAGTATTGGCACATAAACCATGAAGTGTAAGGAAACCTTCAATTAATCCAAATCACCTGAAYCYSTGATTCTGATCAGTCCAGKTTATAATTGATTATGCACCTACACATTTGTAAGGTGCCCTTTCAGTTAGAATTATTACAAGAACTGAAAACAATTTTAACATAGAGGACTGCAGAGCTATTGCCTCTCTCTGAGAACTGCAGCTCCTGCTTTGGGCTGTCACTGTTGCAGTGGTAGTGACAGCACAGGGAATGGCTTATGAATTTTGATTCACACTTTTGTTTTATTATTATTTTATTACTCTGAACACAAGATTTCATCTGCAAATAGGCAATTTCATTGTGAAAATGTTTGTGATGTAATAGCCTACAGAGAATGACAGACTTCTGAGAAGTAATRGCTGTATAGATTACCAATGCAAGAGGGAGGAGGTGACCACTGTCCATCAACACATTCTATYTCCTTTGATCCAACCAACTTCAATTCACCGTTACATTCATAATGCTTTCTGTCCCCATGCTGGTACTGTTCCACAGAGCCATCCACAATACTTCCATGGGGAATTTCAGGGGGAGGTCCACAGCCTCTGACATGCGCTGAAATCAAGAGATCAAAACTATGCTCTGAGCTCAGTACTTTCACCACAGTTACATATTAAGTAAATCTTAAAAACAATTGAATRTGTAATKTCAAGGGAAGAAAAATTGGTGGAACAGGTTAAACATTGATTTACRCCTTTGAATATCTCGAKTCACCCTGTGCTGAAGTTCACAAATAGTTGTGTGTGAYCCTGGCTCACTCATRTCTCCTATTTCCATGCCCTGTCATTGCCTGCTCTGAGAAAAAGTSRTTGACAAAACCAACCCAGTTTTAAGAGAAAAAAAGTGTTACAAGAATTGCAACTTCAGTATTCTTAAAAAAAATAAAATTAAGAAATTGACAATTCTGCAAGGAATAACCTATGTCCTAAAAATCACCCAGCAAGTGATTTACATATATATTGYATATTAAAAYAATTCACYGTATATGCAGTGARTAGAACTCCTATTAAGGGAGCTTACAATGTTCCTGAATTGAAGAGCCAAATATATGAAACAGACTTGCTTTTAAATGCAAAAGAGAGTGAACAAAAGAAG